GATGCTGCTGCTGCTAATGAAGATAAATGGAGGAAAGAGAATGTGAGCCCAGAGTATGAAATTGAGCTCATCTACTTCTTCTTCCAATTGGCTGCTTGATATTACTTTGATTACGGCGGTGTAATTAATGACAGAAAGTAATGAAAGGGTGTAAGAATGATATGGAACGCTGTGTGGGAAATCCAGTTTTGTTATTCTGATCCTCCATGTTATTAATATAATCTGCTTGGGAGGAATCTTTCCACTTTTGCCTTCTGGCAGGCATCCTTTTCAGAAGCTTAAGATATGAGGAAATTCAGATGCTGAACCTTTTGCCAACATGATGAGGAAAACATCACCCACTGAATTTCTGCCTGATAGGCAGGCATTAAAGGACAAGTAGCTTTGCCAGGAAAAAAAGTTGTCAAACTCCAGTTGTAGCCCAGTTAAGTGAGTATGTATGAACCCTCCCTCCCCTCTGAATTTTCGTAACATTCTGATTTTGTACCTTAACTCTCAGAGTGCATTGTAGCCATGGTGACCTAGCCAAATTGGAAGTGGAATGATTGCAGAAAATTCCCCTACACAGGAAACTCTTGCTGATTCCATGCGGCATGCGGGGCTTGCGTAACTTGTGATTCACCACACCCTTTCCTTGCTACCCAACTTGTTCCCGGTTCCCTGCCAGCCATTCAAATTGGCCCAGAGATGGAGGAATGAGGACCACTCGTGTCAGGGGACAGTGGGGTGTATGGGCACAGATCAGTGGCCTGGCTACTCTCCCAACAATGGAGATCCTGATTCTCCATTCCTGTGTGCTCTTCCTCCAGGGCTGTTGAAGTACGTAAGACAGTGCCTGCCTTGGGAGGCGGGACTTCCTGCTCACTCAGTTGAGCGGGCAACTCCAGTCTTCTTCCCCAATCTTCCCCTAACAGTTCCACTGATGTTGAAAGTTGCTGCTGGCACTGAAAAGAGCTGCCATAGGTGTCACCATAAAGGGGGCGGAGAATAATTGGGGAAGGCTGCAATTGTTGACTGAACTGCAGTTTGTTCAAAGACTTTGGTTAGAACAAACCACAGTGTCCTGAGTTCATCAGTAATGCAGAACTGTGGTTTGCTGGAATGCAAACTCTCCTCAGGTGCATCACAGAGGAAAGGGAGCATGCAGGCCCAAGGCTCACTGCAGCTTGTTCCTGATAATCTAGAGCAGAGTTTAGATAAGGCATGGGTGTAGCCAGGGGGGTGCAGGGGGAAGCTGCTCCCCCAAATCTAGTAAATAAAGAAGAATACTTAACTGACCAATTGAATCACAGATAGCTCGGTTCTGCCCCCGCCCCCAAACAAGAGTCCTGCTCCCCTAACATAAATCCTGGCTACGCCCATGGATAAGGTATGAGGAAGAAGCATTTTCATTATGTTATCAGTGTGTGTGATATTCAAGAGGGGGAAAGTTGCCAATAGGAGAAATGGATCCAGGAATAAACCAGGGAAAAATAGGTATACAAAATGTGCTCTGCCGCTGAACCAGGTATGCTTTTAACTGAAGAACCTGATATCTTTTTCTTGACAGTTAGTTGTTATGAGAGTAACACCTCTTTACGTACATATTCAAGAGGGAGAAGGGAGAGAGAAGGCAATTTTTCTTTCCTTAGCTTCCTATGAAGAGCAAATAACCCTCCTAGCAGTTAATAAAATAATGCGATGATTATGAAAATTAAACTTGGCAGCCTCTTTTATGAAGTAATAATCTCCATCTGAAGTGGAAATTTATCCTGGTGGAAAATGGAAAGAAGGTTGAGAAGCAGCTGAGATTTTTTTTTTTTTAATGTTGCAAGAAAGGAAAAAAATGCACAAAAATATTAAATTCTAATATGCTGAAGGTATGCCAAAAGACTATCCCTTTGATGGGCTGTTTGGGCCCCTCCAGACATCCTTCTTATTGCATTTTTGTGATGATTTGTGCTGATGATGCTGTTGGGGCATTTAAGTTATGATCCTGCTTGCAATACCCTTTGCACATGCAAAAATTTGGGGCAGCCATTCATCTTCATTTCTAGACAGTGCATAGACACGGTGACCTTTTATATGACAAATGTTCTAGTATATTTTTAGCCTGTTGCATAGTAGCCCCTCTAGAGAGCAATGATGTAGTAGCAGTGGGGAAGCATTGCAGAACAAACTAAAGCAGAATAAATCTACCATGAATGCCCCATTAGTATGTCAATAGCATGTTGCAGAACATGCTCGCAATATAACACACCAGCTTGGAGGTTGGAGCAGCCAAACCCTTCTGGACGGTCCTGCTCTTCCCTCTTTGATCTTTGCAGTCTCCTTCACTTCTTTGCCTACCTTACTTCCCCTCCTGCCATTGGATTATTTTGCTCTGAAATCACAGAGGGGCGAGGTTACTTATGGCTTGTAGTACTGCTGGAGAGCTGTGCGGCCTATGGCCAGGGAGCTATGTGTTTGGGAGAGTCACTGGAGGCCTCTTAGAATTTTATGCCTGAGGTCCTGGAACACAATTTGGTAACCGTAACGACTATTCCAGTACATTGCCACAATTGTAGGAAGCCACGCAGAATCCCTGTTATCTTTTTGCAATGAAGGAACTGATTAATGATAGCCTGTAATCACTGAATATAATCTGTGATCTCTGTTTGTTCTGGTTTTAGAAGTTTCATTTTATTGGTTTGAATCAAACAGGATCGTTGGTGTCATCCATGTACATTTAAAGCACATGGCTTCTTCAAAAGAATCCAAGTTTGGGAATTGTAGCTCTGTGAGGGGTAAATGGCAATTCCCAGGACTGGTGGGGGTGGTGGTTCTTTTTTGGGTGGGTGGGTGGAGAGTATTCTGCAACATGTTATTGACATAATCATAATGCATTAGTGGTGGATTTACACAGGACTGTCTTTACCTAGTTCTCTCCCATCCCTGTATTATCACTTCAACAACCCTGTGAGGTAGGTTAGGCTGAGAGAATGTGACTAGGCCAGCCAGTGAGCTTTATGACTGAGTGGGGATTTGAACCTCCACCTTCCAGGTCCAGCACTCTGGCCACTAAACCTCGCTGGCTCTCTGGGTTGTTTGGGATGCCTCTACCAATCAGTGGAGAACACTACCGTGTGTGTGTGTGTGTGTGTGTGTGTGTAGGAGAATTTCTAACAGACTGCATGGGAAGCTCTATTATGCAGCAGCTCCAGGTGTGCATATATGGAGAATCCAAGGGATGCTCACAATCTTGCTTCCTAGGACTTCTGTGCAGATCTGACAGTAAATCAGTTTGGGTTGTATCCAATGGCAGACTCAGAGTGGACCCACTGAAATTAATGAACATGACTAACTTAGCTGCATTCATGCCAGGTGGTCTACTCCGAGTAGGGATTAGTTGGATACATGCTTGCATGCTGAAAAGGCTACTAAGGGTAGCACCTGAATGCTCAATTACTTCTATTGCTATTTTAATGGAAAGGAAAGATGTGAATTCATTTGTATATTTTAGTCACCCGTCCTCAGAAGGATCTGCCTTGATCACATGAGCTCAGGTTCTACAGTGCTGACTTCTGACACATTTCCTGGCCCTCATACGGATTCCGTTCTGGGGGGATGTTGTGAAACAGAATTCCTTGCTCTCGCTCTCTCTCTTACTCTGAGTGTCTCCACATTTTTGCTTCTTCCCTTTATGAGCTGCTTCCTTTCAACTCCCGTATGTGTGTGTGTGTGTGTGTGTCTCTCTGTGTATATATATATATATATAGAGAGAGAGAGAGAGAGAGAGAGAGAGAGAGAAGGCCCCTTTCTTTAATTAGCGGTTCACAAATTTAGCTGCTGTTAGAAAAGGAGAGAACAGTGACAGGGAAGAGACAAATCCAAAGCACCACATCTCAGAGAAACAGTTTAATTTGGTGCATCTGGCAGAAAAGCATCACTGCCGTCTTCAAGGTGTATAATCATTAGCTTCTGTTACTTACCAGGTAGTTAAAATGGGTTGGATATAGGAAGGCAGATGCTGTTATCTAGAGACATTTGCTATTTCCCCCCACCCCCACCCCACTTCTTAGTCGCTCAAAATAAAACTGCGCTTGGGGGGGAAAATTAAAATAAAAAGGTATTTTGAAATGGCTATTTCTCCCTCAATTAAGTTTAATTGCCTTAAATAAGTGCACTGTCATCTTCTCCACTCCCCTTCTGTTCTTTGTAACTTCATTTCTTGAGTTTCACATCTGCAACTTTTTCAGATCATCAACAGCATGTTTTTTTCCTGGAAGCATATTTCACGAGGGTTTTGAAACTGGCAACCTAAGTAATACATCTCTTCCCCTCTGTGTACTGTCAGTCAGTCAGTCAGTCTGTCCATCTGTTGTTTTTTTTTGCACTGTGCGGGTGCATCCTAGTCTAGTGTTTGAATGCAGGATGGGTTATAATGAGGGGTGGAAACTGAATCCAATGCTTTCAGTGTCAGTAGGAAGAGGGAGCAGCTACTGATGGGTGCTGCAGAAACCCATCTCCGAAACAACATCTGGGACAGACAGCCCCTCCAAGAGAACCACAAAAAAGCAGGTGAAACATCCCTGCAAAACAAACAACTGCTGACAAAAACCCCCCATCCAACAAAAGCATATTGAGATATCCCACCAAAATATATTCAACAGGGAAAATACCACACGTCAGCACATCTTTGGCAAAGACTTCAGCCGGCGGCTGCTAGCCAGCCAGCAACAAATTTGTATACCAACCAGCAGGTGGCGCAAAGAGGCTCCAGTCGCTGCTTCTGGTCTCTTTGGCATCAACAAACTGGAAGCATCAACAAGATCCCAACTGCTAGTGTGGCTGGCAAACATCCTCTTCTAGGAGCGATTCTACTCGTTTGTAATTTCAGTGGGTAGGGCTTGCACCAGAGGGTTTGCTAAGCACTCAAGCAGCTCTTTGGTCTTCACAAGGAAAGAGATAATAGAATTGCAGATTTGGAAGGCTATCCTTCCAAGGGCTATCCAGTCCAACCCCCTGTAATGCAGGGACCTTTTACCCAACATGAGGTTCGAACCCTTGCCCCTGAGATTAAGAGCCTCATGCTTTACCAATGGAGCTATTACTAGTCTTTCCCAACCAGACGACCTCTGGGCTCCCAGTGTTACTTGAGCTCAGGGCCCTTAGTTCCTTATTTTCTGAGGGTGGCCGGGGAAGAAGCATAAATAAGCACCGTTTGTCAGTTCACATAGCACAGCAGTTAAGCATTTGTCACAGGTCCACCCAACATGCTATTTGGGCTCCTTCACAGATGAAATATACTGAGAGTCGAGAGTGGATTTCATGCTCTTTATTCAGCTCATAGTGGTGAGGAGGAATGAAAGTCCCCTCAAAGTATCTGCTTTATATACATTATTTACACAATGGGCTGCACGTGATGGGCTAATTCCGGAATTCTCCTGTAGGCCAATCAGGTTGTGGATTCACTTCCATCTGGAGCCAGATTGGGTGGCTCCTGCAGACCAATCATACTGCTGCATTGTTCTAGGACCAATCAGACTGCTGCATTTTGGATCCTATTTAACTCAGTACATAACAACAGAGGTGCACCTCTGGGTTCCTAAAAACAATGTGGAGCCTCCACCGTTGTTTTTCTCTGCAACCCAAATGCTACAAAATAGCACACACATTTTCAGGTCCTCCTGAGCTCTTAAAGCAAGGGGAGGGGCAGGAACAAAACATTGCCTGGTGGTGAAGCCAGATGCAGACATAAGGACAGAAGAAGACCCTGCTGGGTCAGGCCCATGTAGTTCTTCATCCTGTTTTCAGTGGCCAGCCAGATGCCTGTGGAAAACCCACAAGCAGGAACCCACAAGTACTCTCCCCTTCTGTGGTTTCTAGCAACTGGTATTCAGAAACATTACTGCCTCCAACTTGCTTAAACACCAGCCACTTTTCTACCTTTTACTGCATTAAGCAATGTCTAGCATCTGCTATTTTCTGGTCCACTAGCATGTGTTGACTGTCTTATGAAGGTAAGCATTTATCTTTCATAGAAGTCCTGATGATGAATGGCAGCTACGTAACAGCAGAGCTTGATCCTCTCTTCTTTGTCCTTGGTGCAGGCGTGTCTTTGAAAACCTTATTTGCTATGTGTTCTATTACAGAGGGGAAATATTATTCCCTTAGGTTGATCCTTCCCTCCCCGCCCCCCCAGGAAGTTCTTTTGTTGTTTACTGCTTAATAAAAATGAAATGTGCTGGAGTCCATAGCTGCCGCCGTTCTCCTTTGAGTCATCTTAGGTTGGGAATGAAAGACATCTCATTTGGGATGATAGCCAATACTAAAGAACCATTGAAAGATTAGTGTTGACCAATTGTTTGAGTCACCTAGTTCAGTAGAAGAAATTAACACATCAGTTAGCTTCATGACTATTTTTGTCTGGTTTCTTGCTTTAGGTGAATGTTCCCTTTGTGATGATGGTAAAGGTAAAGGACTTCTGGATGGTTAAGTCCAGTTGAATTTGACTATGAGGTTGTGGCGCTCATCTCGCTTTCAGGCCGAGGGAGCTGGCGTTTGTCCACAGACAGCTTTCCAGGTCATGTGGCCAGCATGACTAAACCGCTTCTGGCGCAACGGAACACCATGACGGAAGCCAGAGAACACAGAAATGCTGTTTACCTTCCCACTGCAGCAGTACCTATTTATCTACTTGCACTGGCGTGCTTTCGAACTGCTAGGTTGGCAGAAGCTGGGACAGAGCACTGGGAGCTCATCCCATCACGTGGATTTGAACTCCCAACCTTACGTTTAGCAAGCCCAAGAGGTTTCGTGGTTGATGGATAGCTTTGTGAGTAAGCCATGTTCATCCCTTGAAGCAGAAAGATGGGGGGGGGGGATCCAGCTCAGAGAAAAAAGACACATTCCCACAGTGCAGAGTTAAACTATGGAACTCACCACTGCAAGGTGCCACGGTGGGTGCAAATGTGGAGCATCTAGTAGAAATATTGGTGAATTTGTACATTTTGCTACTCCTATTGAGTAGCTAAACAACCTCATTCACTTTCACTTTTGTTGACACCAGCATCCAATTCACAAGAATTTCTGATTTTGAGAATTTCATAGGAGGGACAATAAATGGAATTTTCAGTGTTGTTGTGCTCATGTCCTGCTTGTGGACTTCCCAGGGGCACCTGGGAATAGGATGCTGAACTAGAAGGCCTTTAGTCTGATCTAGCAATGGAGGGGATAACTGGAAAAGTTCCTGTGCTTTGCAGGAAAGCATCGCAAATAGAGAGTACCAAAAATGTTACATTGATAGGTTTTCTTTTCCCTTCATGGAAGTATCATTTGTTGCTATTCCCCAGTATAGAGTTAATGATTATTTTGACACTGATGATGTATCAGAAGCCATTATGGAAGGAGGAAGAAGTAAAATATGCTAATTTAGATGATAAGCAATTAAGGCAGTGTCCTTCCACTTTTGCTCTCTACAGGCTACATATGGAATAACAGTCCAATGTTTGCATGGAAATAAGCTGCTTTTTCTAAAGCACACAGAGTAATGACATGGTAAATTGGGTTCAGTTTCATGTGGGTTGCTCAGGGACTTGGTTCAGGGAAATATCTGGAAAGCTTGCCTGAGCACTCAAGGTTGCTTCCATAAAACCTGTTTCCTAAGCATTCATTCCAATTTAATTGTGGAGAGGTTGGACAACAGTGAGTCAAAGCAAGTGTTATCACAAATGTTTCAGTGCATTTCCTGGACGCCTTCCTTAACACAAAAAGTCTGATCTTTTGAGGGAAGCGAGTTGGTTGTGCAAATCCTCCCCCATTAACCTGAATTTGTAACCTGAGTTTACTTGTGTGTGATGGAATCCCACCTGAAAATGGAGAGTCTGGAAGCGCTTTTAGTTGTCTCTAGTCATGACTGGCAAGTCACTTTATGACGTCAGAGCAAGTAAGCCAATAGCAGCAGAAGGCCCATTAAGAATCTGCACAGCCAAGAGGCATTGCGACATCAGAGAGCACATCAGCCTTCAAGACAGAGACTAGAAAGAGACAGTGATTGTAGAAGTGGCAAGGAATTTCACTCACACACTGCCGCTTAGCCACGATATGACTCTTTGGCTTATACTGCACTATCAGCACAGTTATATTTACCAGCCAATTAAACAAATGCTAGTCCATTTTTTATAGGTGCCATCCATGGAAAAATGTGTATTGGTCTCAATGAGCCAGACCAAGATCACTGGTACTACTGCTGCCCTCCTATGATCTACATGGCATCACACACATGTTATCAAACAAAGGCTATAACTGAACACTGTTTGGTTGTTTTATTTCAATCATCAACAATGGGACATAAAAGTATGCATAACTGCACCTTGGATCAAGGCCAAAACACATAATAATGATTATAATGCATAACCACAATCATTACAGGAGACATCAAATATTTATTCTATGAAGAAATGTAGATAGATATATTTGCTATGGGCTTCAGAGTTTAACAAAAAGACTGCAAATTTGCTTCAAACCTTGTGAAGCTTTGTGAAGTGGATTTCCACTGAATCTGCTGCTCGCCCAGGGATATTTCCACTGTGATGTGGAAATCTCCCATGTACTTACACACAAACACACCCACATTTCCATGTATCCCAACGAAAAGCCAGGAAAACCTAGGCTTCTTCCCCGGCGCTGAACACATTTCCTCACCTGCTATTCCTGTCTTCCCGCCTCCCGGCTCAGCTTTTAATATCTTTCCGAGAGAAGTTTTAAAAACTTCAGCCAGTAGGTGTCTCCATTTCCCTGATCTCCGATCATCTCCGCCTAGTTCCGTTATTAATCCATTCATTAATACCATTAAATATATATACAGTATATATAAAGATACCGAACCTAATATCCTTTCGGGGCATTCACACCCAACTCTGCCCTCCAGGCCTCTCTTATCACCTTTAAACAAGTGCAAGGATAAGCAATGCATCCCAGCCGATCTGGGCTGCCTCCCTCCCAGCCGCTGGGCCCGACCCGAGGAGGCGGCGGAGGGTCCCTGCAAAGGCGGCCTCTGCAGGCGCCCGGCGGGCCCGCCTCTCCCGGGGAGCGCCCGCGCTCTGCACCCCCCCATCCCCGCCGGCGCCCTGCCCACCGCCTGGCAACCTGATGATTGACGCGCGACGCGGCCACCCGGAGCTGCGAGGGCGTCCTGAGCGCACCTATGAGCACGGCCGCATCCCAAAGGGGGCTGGCCGTGGGCGCAGCAGCCGGGAGAGCGCAGCCGCCTCCTTCAGGCAGGCAGGCAGGCGGGGCTGCTGCTGCTGCGGAGCCGGGGAAGCCGAGCGCCCCAGTCGGCGGGCGCCTGCCGGAGGAGAAGCATCTCCCGGCCCCTCCCTGCTGCGCGTCTCTCCCTCGCCCCGCCTCCCGCTCGCCGGGCGCCTCGGGCGGGGATGGCAGCCGCGCGGACCGAGCGCGCGATGGAGGCGCCGCGGCGGCCGCACCTGGAGGAGGACGCCGCCTCGTAGGCAGCGCTGCCCGGATCCCGCCCTGCCTGCCTGCGCTGCCAGCGGCGGACGGGGGAAGAAGGCAGACGTAAGCAGGCTAACTATAGCATCTCCCCGGAGCCGGGAAGGAGGCAACCTGGGCGAGAGGCGGGCAGCCTGCGCCATTCCCGGGCGAGGAGCGGCGTCGCTACAGGTGACTCGGGTTCTCCCCAGCATCCCACCCCCCGCTCGGACATGGGTCTACCTTGGCGTCTCCTCCTCGCGCTTCTGCTCTTGGCTCACCTGGGCTCGGCCGCCGAGGGCAGCCCGGGGCAGGCGGCGCCTGGCAAAGGGAAAGCGGCCAGAGAGAAGCAGGCGCCTTACCCCAGCGCCAAGAGCGCGGCGGCTCCTCCCTGGAGCGGTTCCCTGGAGAAGAGCCCCGTCTTGGCCCAGAGGCTGTCCCCGGAGGTGCCCGCCAAGGTGGCCTCGTTCCTCCACACGGGCGACCCTCGGGAGCTGAGGCACGCCAACTGCTCCGGGAGATACGAGCTGGCTCCCCCCTGGGCCGGGAAGCCCCGCCTGGCCGCCTCGCCCCCGTCGCTGCACGGCGCCCTCGACACGCTCCTGCACGCCACCAACTTCC